TATATATATGCATACTGTATGTGGAATAAATATTTTTGTTCACGTTTACAATGTAAGAGCCATGAAAAGATTATTTACATTTATTCTTTTTCTTCACTTGATTTATTTTTGCAGCTTTATGCTGCCAGTTTGACTGGAAACTAGCCTCTCTGATGGATTTTTAAACAAAAATGATTTGCATTATGCGTCAAAGGCTTTCATTTCGATTGTTATGGTTTAGGCTTGACACTAAAGTGATGTCATATTTTCCTTGGCTTAAATGGTGCCGTCCCACAATTCATAGGGAGCGGGAGCAGGAACTTTATGGCCCAAAGAAACGTGGACCTAAACCAAAAAACTTTGTACTAAAGGTTTGAGTTTTCTTAAAACTTTCCTTGAAATGTTTCCATTTTCTAATTGAAAAAAATATAAATAAACTTTCTGTCTGATGCTTTAGTACCTCCCAGTCACATTTGCTCTCCGTCTATCTAGGCACGGGCACAGGCGGGTGATAGACCTCGAAGCTCAAATACCAGACGCACTCCACCTCACACCACTGCCAAGCCTCCCGCCTCTTCCTCTTCTGCAAGTTCATCCTCTTCCTTCTCCACCGCTCCAACCCCCAGAGTGCACTCTCTCGCCGCTGCTCATAAACTGAAGAAAGACATCCATCGTTGTCATAGGATGTCTCGACGACCTTTGCCACGACCCGACCCCCTAGGCGACTCCACTGGATCCACATCCTCATCCCGTCCTCCCATCTCTCCGTTCTCTGAAACTGTCCGCATCCTCAACCGCAGGGTCAAACCGCGGGAGGTTAAGCGAGGACGTATAATCTTGAACCTGAATGTCATTGACAAATCCGAAAACAGTGGAGTAACAAGTAGAAGGTCACCACAGTCATTTGCGGGGCGGGCGAAAATCCCATCCCGAAATCGCATCATTGGGAAAAAGCAGGGGGACATGCCTTACAGGCCGTTCCAGCATCCTATGAAGATGTTGGGCTTCCCGATGTACGGCCAGCCGTTTGGGCTCCACCCCTGTGGGTCAATGTCCTCCATGGCCAATGAAGAATCCAACACTGGAGCCAATCGGAGAGGTGGAAACTGCTGTGATAGCCATTCCTCTGCTAATGCGCAGAAGTTTCAATATCAGCCTCCACCTTCTCCATCCAGCTTCAGTGGGTCTAACAACAGCTCCCCTTCACTTCAGAAACAGCCGACTCAACCTGAAGCTCCTACGTCTCCAACTAAATTGGATTCTGCAGCCTCCTCACGTTCCAGAGATGCCTCCCAACCTCCCCCAAAGTCCAGCTCTGTGCCATTCCTCCCTTCCTCTCTTGAAGATGAAGACCAGGGCTCTCCGAATCTCGCCACTTCTCGGGGCAGAAAACGGAAACTTCGTCATCGAACCCAGGTGGGTCAAGCTTCGGTCTGCCAGGTTAGTGACCGCACTACCACCCCACATCCTGAGGAAAATAGGGAGCCAAAAGAGGGGGATCCCGATTGGAACCCTGAAATGGCACCCAGCTGTACCAATGTAGTCGTGACTGACGTCACCACAAACCTTCTCACAGTCACCATCAAGGAATTCTGCCATTCAGGAGCGGGTTCTGAACCCTCTTCCCCTTGCCAAGCTGACAACCCACCCTGTCCCACCACAGCTGCCTCTTGAAAGTTACCCTAAACGTTTCAGACAAAAATATATGCCCATTAAATCCCATGAGAACTTGCCATAATGATATTCATGCACCTTAAAATAGTTGGCGTTAATGAAATTAAAATGTATTTTTGGTGAAATTAAGATATATTGAAGTATTATTTAAAGGCAGGGGTGCTTCCCTTGACCTCTACATTTTAAACAACATGCTATGATGGTTTTGTAGTACTTCATGCTTTTCTTCCCCCTCTTTTTTCCCCAGTGATCCTGTCTTTCCACAGCCTTTTT